TTTCATGTTTGAACCTCTGACATCGAAGGAGTTTTGCACAGACGGTGCTGGATACAGACACTTGGATGGTTTTATGTAAATATTCACAACAAAGCGAACAAAAACTCTCAATGAATCATATTCAGTTCTTCCAAATGAACTCTCCTTATTTGAGTCAAGAATAAAGTTGGGGGGTTCAAACTGAAATCCAAAACTTTTCCGTTTGAGTGTCTAGTGAAGATCATCCACCCTCATTTCAGCATTTACTTAGTGGGTTATTGTCAGTTTCATTTGGCCATGTTGCTATCCTTAGTCACAAAGAAACCTGATCTAATATTACAGACTCTCTGCAGGTCAAAGATATGACTGTTTTTCAGCAATAAATACTTCATTTGTCAGCGTCTCGAAAAACTCATTTAAAGGATTTGCACATGTCATCATATACCCAACACATAAGTTCTATAGAGTCTTGCTAATGACCTACTAATGTTCTTCAGGTGTGTTGCAGCAGAGACATTTAAAAGTTTCAGGACACCGTTCCTCGAGGACTGGAGTTTGACATCCCTGCCATAGAGCAGAAACCCACCCCAACCCCATCCCCCCTCCTTTGTGGGGTTTTCAGTCTGAGTCTCAGGACGTTTGTGTGTATTACTTCTAGTCTATGTACCCACCTTGCTTTTCTTGTGCTACAGCTCTCTGGTCACAGCACCTGTTTCACGCTCTGACTCCTGGGAAGGATTTCAGTATGGCACCTGGCTGCCCTCTTGCCACTGTTTTGCACTGGATCCCTTTTAACTCAGGTCAGCCCAGCATCGCTCTCTTCAGCTCACCCGGACCTTCAGCTGCTCCTCAAAGTGTCACCAACTCTGCCTGCAACATGAGTCATATTCCTCTTTCAAATTCATTCAAGCCTGGAGAAGTTTCATACCCACGCTAATCACCCACTCCTCTGTCCACAGTTACAGCTTTAGATCTCCACACTACGAGTCGTGTTCAAACATCAAGCCCTGAATCCCTCGCCAAGTTTATTCCTTTGCTTAAACTTGTAAATAAAGTTTGTGAAAATTGCTCTGCTGTCTCCACAGTCACATATTGGGCCTTTTTTAAGCTTCTGAGCTCTGAGTGGTTTTGCGGTGTGTACAGACACATTTGTG